CACTAACTCTCTATTCCTCATCGTGGTGATGATGATGGCGTCGACGCTCTCTACTGCGCGATCGATTTCTTCGAGAGTCCCTCCTCTCACGATCGCGATCGCGGTCACGTCTAAAAAAATAGCAGAAAATTTCCCAGAAATTGATCAGAAAATATATTTTTCCTCTCACAAAATTCAAATTCACAACCTCAAGAATCTGCCAGCCTTTTTTTCACAAATTCGAGAGAAAAAAATCGCAAAAAACAAATTTTTCTTCCCAAATTCCAAACGGAAAAAATCCCCAAAAAATCTTTTTACCCCCACCTGCAATCACATACCAATTTTTCCCGAAAATTCAATAAAAAAAATTATTTTTTTCCTTACCGAGATTCTCCCACATCACCATCCCGAGCCCTTGCCCTGTCCCTATCGCGATCTCTCACACGTGGAGCGAACTCATCCACCGGTCTGTGCGGCGGAGGACCGCTGTCATCATATCTGCTGTTGATGATAAGGACCGTTGAGGAAATGCAAGATTGCAAGATTTCTACTCACCTCGAGCCTTTTCCTTTCCCTTTACCCCAACTAGATTCATAAGGTGGAGGTCCACCATAACTGAGGGAGAAAATTCCGAAAATTTTCACACAACCAGTGCATTTTTTCACTTAGTGTGGAAAAAAATATTGGAAAAAAAGGAAAAATTTCACACAAATAGCCCAAAACTCCTCAAAACTACTACCCCCGTCACATCAGCCCCAAAAAAACAAAAAAATTCTAAAAAAATCCCCAAAATTTTCTCGAAATTTATTACTCCAGTGTTGGAGGAATATATATTCGCTTTCCTCAGGAGTTTACAGTGTACAGAAACCAATAAGAATTTTCCCCCATAATTTTCATATTCTCACCAACGCATATTTTTCCAAACTATCACTCCAATGTTGCGAAAATATACATTCGCTTTCTCCAAAATTTTTTATAAGTAATTTTCATATAAACACCATACGCGTATTTATACAAAAATATCTCCGCTTCTCCTCAAATTTTCACCAACACAAATGTGCAGATTTTCCCAGAACTAACCATCAGAAAATTAATAATTTTCATACAAATGTATAATTACTACCCTTTTCTGCCCTTTCCAAAATCGTCCATTCCCCATCTTGGTCCTCCTTTTCCCTTTCCTTTTCCTTTGCCAAAATACCCTTCATCTATACCTTTCCCTTTCCCCCACGACGACGACATTCTCGAGGAATATCCCGACTCCCATTCCGGAGGTCCATACGGTGACGGTGGTGGTCCTCCAGGAATAGTATTTTTCTTCGATTTCGGTTTGGCAATTCTGATACGAAAATAACAGTAAAAAATTGAAAAAATATGAGAAAAAAAGTGAAATTTTGCAAATATTTTGGCACACGAGGAACTGATTTGATAACATTGAAGTTTCACTCTTCGAACTCGAACTGGCGTTTCTGGAAATTTACCCGCGGTATGAAAAACACAAAATAAATGCTATTGTAAAATTCACTCCGTCAACACATAAAAATCAACTATTTTACTGCGAGAAAAATTAGTATTTTTCTCGAGATTAAATATATTCAATTTTTTTCCCGGAAACCCCAAAAATCTACTTTTATACACTGCAATTTCACCCGTTTTACGAGAAGTGAAAAACGCTATATTCGCAGTAGTCGTGAAATATATTTTCATATCACTAGGGTGGTGAAATTCCAATATCTTTTCCTAATTTCATACACCCACGAAAAATATAAAACCGATCGACGATACCACTCCTTGCACAATTTAGTACCGTCCACTTCCTCTGCCGCCTCCCATTCTCCTTGGTATCCACCCCGAGACCGTTCTGCCCCTCTCCACATCAACCAACACTCTACGACCGTCAACTTTGATCCCATCAGCCTGAAAATCAAACGTGACGCGTGACAGAAAATTTTTCCCCCACATTTTTATAAGCCTGTTTTAAGCTGTTCTCATTGTCATACTCAATGAAAGCGTATCCACGACTCCTTCCCTCCAAATCGTGTATAATAGTAACCTGAAAACTACCAAGTACCATCCCAACCTCTTCTGAATCTTGCAAAGTCAACCTCAAGATATTCATACACATATCTTTACGCACAGCGAAGATTTTCCTACCTTCCTTATCGGACCATATTCTCCAAATATACGCTGCAACTGTTTCTCAGTAGTCTCATACGCCACCCTTGCCACAAACAGAGTTTTGAAAGGATCTCCTGATACCTGATGATGGCAACGCACAGCGAAGATTTTAAAGATACTCCTAGTGAAAAAAATATCAATGCTCAGCAATTTTTTTCATAAATTTTCGTTAATTTACCACAGCGAAGAAAGTTCCAAAATTCTCCCGAGCAAAAATATCAATTTATGAGTTATTCTTACCAAATTATCCTCAATTTTCCGATTTTTTCCGATTTTTTTCCGTTTTTTCCCGATTTTTCCCGATTTTTTCCGATTTTTTCCGTTTTTCACGCCCATTTTCCCAATACTTTATCATTATTTTGAGGTTTGTAGTCAGCTTTCAACCTCTCGATCAACTCTTCATATCTAAAACGGAAAATAAAATTACATTCATCGAAAAAAAAACTCAGATTATTGATTCTGCGAAAATTCCGTTGAAAAAAAATTAATTTTTTTCACATTCTCAGCAAAGATACTAGAAATTCCAGAAAAAAATCGATGGCATTGGAGTTTCACCCGTTTTACGCTAACTGGCGTAAAGCTCTGTGAAAAACGCAATACTCGTCACCTATAGTAGTCGTAAAATATGTTTTTACTAGTGTTTGACATATCACTAGGGGGGTGAGACTCTAATATAAAAATTCTCGAAAGTTTCCTCACATTTCCAAAAAAGGAGTAAATTTTAATGCCCAACAACCGAGAATGCATATACTCCAATATTGGAGTTTCACCCGTTTTACGTGAAGTGGCGTAATACTCCATGTGAAAAATGCGATATGTAGTGAATTGAAAATACTTCGCAAATTTCGCCGGACAAATCATCACATTTAACGAGTTTTACGCGTTATTCACTCCACACATGCGTTTTTCACCAAGTGAAATATATTTTTCATACCACAACTCGCACATCTCAGTTCGGCCGTGAAAATAACATTCAAAAATTTCACACGAATTCAACATGAACATAAAAAATTACAAATCTCCCACGCCGGAGTCCACAAGAAAGGTACAACAATTTGGGAAATATTTGGTTAACCACATTTTCTCTCTTGGAAAAAATACGAAAATAAAGTGAGAAATTTCTTGAGAAATTCTCAATGGTTTGTTTGTTAGTTCAAAAAGGCTTTGTCCGACGACAGTCTTGGTGATAATAATGATACACCAAATGGTTTTTTTCTTTCCTTTTTTTCACATTTCATATACGAACTCCTGAGCTGAAGAATTCCAACATATATTCCTCCAACACAGAGGAGACCCCCGGATCGATCCGCGGTGGTATTACTTTTCTTTCTTCTCCTTAGCCCTTCGTTTTTTCCTTTCAAGAGGAGTTTCACCGTGTTCACGTTCCGGAGGTTCTCCGCCCTCGAAATACTCCACGAAGTCGGCCAAACCTGATGATAAGAAAAATATCTTTAGGTCGACCACATAAGATACAAAGTAGGTCCACTCAATATCTTTAGGTCGACCACATAAGATACAAAGTAGGTCCACTAAATATCTTTATGTCGACCACATAAGATACTAAGTAGGTCCACTAAATATCTTTAGGTCGACCACATAAGATACAAAGTAGATCCACTAAATATCTTTAGGTCGACCACATAAGATACAAAGTAGGTCCACTGCCCTACCCGTAAGATGATGAGCAGTCACCGGAGCCTTCCGAATCTGCGGTTTCTCATAAGCTTGCGGAGGCCTCGGGCAAAACAGCGCCAGCAAATGCGGTGGCATTCCTTGAGCGCTCATGACGTATCAAAGGAAGGAGAAGGAAAAGCTGGGGAAAAAATTATTATTTTTCTCGTCTATGCAGAGTAGGTTGAGATGCAGCAATATACAAAGCGTAAATATGGGCGTTATTTTCGTTATGAGCTTTCGTACACATCTTTACTAAGTTTGAGCAAAATAGCAAGAACAAGCTTCAACTAGCAAGTTGGTCAACACTAAATTTCATCAGAAAAATATGAAAATTTTTTGGGCGGAATTTCTCATTGGTTTCTGTACACTCCGTAGAGATAAACTCCTGAGGAGCTCAGCTGAGGAAAGCCAACATATATATTCCAACAACACTAACAATTATAATTATTATAATTACTTTTTCCCATTAATTTTAATCTTTCAAACTCGTCCTTGTACTTGACCATACCAAAAATCTCAAATTTCTATTCACATAAAATTTTATAAATTTTTTGAATTTCATTTTGCCAAAAACCAATACCAAAAATCACAGGTGTCTTTTCATAACAATATTCTGAAATCCCGAAATTACATTTTTTCAAAAATTATATTCCAAGACTTGAATTTCTGAAAAGTAAAATTTTATTCAAAAATGAGTGTCGGAAAATATAAATTTTCGCATTTTCAAAACAGGAATTTATGGAGAAAATAAATCCGTAAATTTCCACCACCAACAACGCGTATCACCGCGAGCAGCCGATCGACCTCAAACGCACAACAGCACCTGCGGAAGCGACACCAGAGACTACAACTCGAGAGAAAAAAGTATAAAATACAAAAATATGGTTAAATATAGCGGTCTAAATTTGAAAAAAAATAAGTTGGAAAAACTACAACAACTATCAAGGAGAATATATAGAGCTACCGGCTATTCTAACATATGCAAAAAAGAGGGACGCACTAGGTATGGAAGCACAGGAGAAGGGGTTACAGAGAGAATACAACTGTGGGAGGAAGAGGATGACGATCCTCCTCACCGGCGACCGTGTCGGTGGAGTTATCACTATAGTTATTAGCAGTTCACACAGCACGTATCCTCGCAAGGAAGTGTTGCAGCAAACAGACAGTGGCGCCAGAGCTCTTAAGCAGAGGTGGTCACACCATGAGAGGAAAAATCGTCGTTGAGTAATTTCAAGATTGCAAGTTGTTGTGTATTCTGCATGAACAACGATAAGGTAAATGTCGCTCGCCATAAAATTAAGCGCCCGCCACAGAATTAGGATGGTCGTCGTTCGAGCCGTGCTAGTGGCATTAATAAGGGTGTGGGTGATTGGCCTTTGGAATTGAAACTTTTATCATACCATAAACGTCTAGGAGTGGGAGTAGAATCTTTTACAGTGGACATGATCGGTGAATGTGTACCCTCAGCTAATGTTCTTCAAATATCACGATTCTATATTGGGTTAGAGAATCACCTATAATGTTTCCGGGGGGAGCTCCACGTCCTACTAGGAAATCTTCTCCGATCAGTTTCCCATGTAGATGTAGTCATCACCTTAGTACCATTGTTATCAAATCTACTTGGGTTGATATTGTTGTTGGTTCTATAGCCAAATCGTCTAAAATGAGTATTAGGAGTATATTGCGTATCAGCCTGGAGGTATATTTATGAAGATCCCTGGAGTAAACGGTTTTGGTAGTAAACTTTCAAATTAGTGAGGTCAGTGTGTGGGAGGAGAATATGCACATGGTCATCAACTACATGTGTTGGTGATGATGACAATATGAAAATTCCGGAAATACTCTAATTAGTTTGCACATAGTCAACTACATGTGTTGGTGAGCAAGGACCCTCCTATCGTCGAGAAATAACGTCTCCTAGGGTTTGATAATAATGGGAAAAATGTTACTAATGTGATGACTACATTTACTGATTGAAGAATGTGCTCCTAGCCATACGTGGAAAATTCTAAACGTGGAGTCCCCCCCTAGGAAACATTATAGGTTCCTGGATGATTCTCTGTTGGTGATGATGACAATATGGAAATTCTGGAAGGAAATTCTCATTGGTTTTTGTAAATTTCTTGTTCAAACTCCTGAGAAAAGTGAATATATATTCCTCCAACACTGATAAGAATACAGCTAAAGATATTTAATGCTTACATACCTACTTGCCGGGGTAGAACCAGGGACCTATCGATATGAAGGCCAGTGCACTAACCATTATGCTATTTCGTAGTTCTGTGGGCTCTCATGACGATGAGCGGTACCCCAGCGTGTCGCCGTCCCGAATCGATCGAAGGAAGGAAGTCTTTGGCAGATGCCGCTACTTTACTCATAGAAAGAGTAGTATCGGGGAAAATCTTCGCTGTGCGCAAACGTATCTTTTAGGTTGTCCGAGATCTGCAGGATCTGAAAAGATTCCTCGCAAGAGATCAGGCGGAGGCAGACTTGGAAAGGTAACGAGAGGTCACCGTCACGCGCCACAATATTATCATTCTCTCCTATTAGAACTGGGGTCGGGTTATAAAAATTACGAATATGAATATGTTGTATAAAATGCTTTCGATGATTATACAATTCTGTTGGAAATAATTCACATTTTGTTTATCTCGCCGATGAGGTCTGTGATAAAAATGGGTAAAAAATTCCGTAAAATTTCATCGTTTTAGATTTGAGCTGATGGAAAAATGTCGAAAAGCAGAAATGGAGGCAGAAGCGCAGGAGGGGAAGGCCCGGGATTATCTAAGACGGATTAGTATGTTGGAGTTCGCATTGAAGAGGGAGAGAGCACAGGTGGATGCCCTACAAAGGAGTGGTACTTCAGGGAGGTGTGGTATGAGTAGAAATAGGGTATCTTGAGGTTGATGTTGGTATGATACAGATCATGTCCATTTAGATCTAGTTTAGTTTCTTTTGTATATATAGGCGTATCTTGAGGTTGATGTTGGTATGATACAGATCATGCCCATTTAGATTTAGTTTAGTTTTCTTTTGTATATATAAGCTTATCTTGAGGTTGATGTTGGTATGATACAGATCATGCCCATTTAGATCTAGTTTAGTTTTCTTTTGTATATAGAGGCGTATCTTGAGGTTGATGTTGGTATGATACAGATCATGCCCATTTAGATTTAGTTTAGTTTTCTTTTGTATATATAAGCTTATCTTGAGGTTGATGTTGGTATGATACAGATCATGCCCATTTAGATCTAGTTTAGTTTTCTTTTGTATATAGAGGCGTATCTTGAGGTTGATGTTGGTATGATACAGATCATGTCCATTTAGATCTAGTTTAGTTTCTTTTGTATATATAGGCGTATCTTGAGGTTGATGTTGGTATGATACAGATCATGCCCATTTAGATTTAGTTTAGTTTTCTTTTGTATATATAAGCGTATCTTGAGGTTGATGTTGGTATGATACAGATCATGTCCAATTTAGATCTAGTTTAGTTTTCTTTTGTATATATAGGCGTATCTTGAGGTTGATGTTGGTATGATACAGATCATGCCCATTTAGATTTAGTTTAGTTTTATTTTGTATATATAGGCGTATCTTGAGGTTGATGTTGGTATGATACAGATCATGCCCATTTAGATCTAGTTTAGTTTCTTTTGTATATATAAGTGTATCTTGAGGTCGATTTAGGTATGCTGAGGAAAGCCACATAGCAAGCAGTACCCCTTCATTATCATCTGAGCGGAGCGAAGCGCAACAAATCATGTGTCGTTTCCGCTTTCACCAGCGGATACCCTCCGTGCCCAGTTGGAGTTGTATGGAAGTGTAACGTCGAGTCAGAACCCGTCACCGACTGCACCAGTCCGGCCACAGTCCTGCAAGGCGATATTGAGAGAGTAGAAAATAATTTCATGGCGCGTGACAAAAATTTTATTATTTTTTAAATCGATCGGACGATCGATTTCAGTTACTTGCGGGAATCGTCTCTGAGTCCGAGTGGAAGAAGTGATGGTGGTGGGAATAGAACCCGTGCGGGGAATATGTCGCGGATTGTGAACCAGGGCCGTTCCCCGAGGGCTGGCAACACTCTGAAAAGGTGAGGGAATTGAACCCGGGTCGTTGGCATGATAGACAGGAAT